TTTGAAACAATTCCTGATTGCTCCTACTCATTGCTTCTTTTCCATTCTTTTATTTTCAATTACAAAAAACTAAATACCAACGTCATAACCTCAAACAGCTGGAAAAATCACCAATCTTAAAGCAGCAGCAGCAATATCCAATCCTAGAGCAGCAGCAACAAACCCTGATAATAGAACAGCAGTAGAAGAAATATGATGTTTTTCTTGTAGCAGCAAAAGTCTTCAAATTGACAAAAAGATCCTTCCTTTTATTAAAGCATTTGTTAGCTATCAGGAAAATAAGGAACAAAGTTCTTTCGGCTCTCGATAAGTTACTATCACAATATCCAACATCATCATAACGACTGCTGTTGCTCTCGCCCGAACAATCAAGACTGATTAAAATCACTCAAATAGAGCAAAGAATGTGACAGTAACAGAAAGCCCCCACATGATTAGGGAAGACAGTGATTAACTTTATTGTTCGTCAATTCTTCTGATTTACAATAAGGAGAAGTGGTATGAATGGCAAAGAGACGACTATCCACCAAAGACACAAATGACATGGTTTAAGGCAATTAAAGATCACATTTTAATTTTCAACAAAGAGTAAAACCTACGCTGTATAGTAAGGCCTAGCACAAGTGTTTACTTAAACGATGACTTCAATAGGCCACATACACTGTAAATGAAAATCTACAATGGCTACCATGTATAAAAAATAATTGATTTAATGCTTTCACAAGATATGAACAATAATTGATCACGGTTTGAATATTATTTGTGATACAAAAAATTGCGAAGATCACTAAAACGAAGACAAATAATGCCATAGGGTTACAAGTTTCTGAGTCACCGGCTAACAAAAATAAACTTTTGGGTCAGACTATTGTTATTATTTTAAGATGATGTCCTTAACTTTATGAAAATACATCAAATATTTATTTTTTAAGTTACTGTTATTTGTTTTCGACTATTTGTTATTACTGTCCAAAACATCACATATGGTTAACATAAAGTACTTTGTGTGACACTGCCTTTTAAAATAAAAACGAATGGAAACCAGGGTAGATATTTGTATTCTCACTATTCGGTCATTTGAAGTACCCTTGTGAACCATATTAGAAATAACGGCAACAATAGTATACCGCTTTTTAATAGTCATAATTCGATAAAGCAAAAACAAATCCGGGTAACAAACTAAAACCGAGTTGAAAAAAGCTTAACTGATCAGATTGATACAAATAGAAATGCATCTAAAAACATAGGGTGGACGAGAACGGGTACTTATACACCCCAAAAAACAAGAAGACACTAAGTACAGATCTGAGAGTACTTGCAGTTACTGACAGCTAGTTCAAAGCAAATGAATTAATGAAAAAAATCATGTATCTAAGACTAAAGTCATGTATCTAAGACTATGACCATATGAATGATAATTCATGTCAACACAGATGTGCTGACTTTTGGGCTGGTGATATATTTGGGAAGAAAACATCCACCAGCAGAGGCATCGGCTATTCTTTCCATCTAATGGCAAACCATTCGAAACCTTTGAGAAGTTTATTAAACACAGCATACATGCTCTTTTTATATAACTTTAGAGATCAGGGAATTTTACTATAACAAACATGACAATTTTTCGGCGTTAATCGAGGAGAAACTCACAACACGATGTAGATGGTTACTCTCAAGGGAAAATTGCGGAAGATTATAAAGCATCAGTCTAGTTCTGTTGTAGTCAAAATAGTTAAGTCAGCATTAAAATTGGAAAAGAACCTAAACAATAGAATATTAGCTGCAACAAAAATCGTAAACCCTTTATAGAGATAATATAATGAGCACACAAAAAAGAAATGTAAGATAAATGGGGTCAAAATGTTATAAATTTACTCAAAATGTCGATTTTTTGGAAATTTCTATCACCTAACTTTTTTAACAAGATAAGAACTAGCGGATTATTGTAAAAGCATTTGGAATATCGTCTTTACATAAGTTTGCTTTAAATTTGTGAAACAATTCTTTGGAAATAATTAAATTTTATTAAATTTCATGATTTTAGATAAACAAAACGGCACATTTTTGCTGACTATTTATATCATTTAAAAACAATTCATCGGTGATGTGTTCATAAAAATTGGTACAAATAATCATCCTATATAATCAAACCAAATATCAATTTAAAGAGAGCTTCCAAGTACTCGTTTTCATGCTGATGGTTGTTTGAAATCAGTCGAAATATACATCTTTTTCCTATATGTTACAATTTAACGTCGCGAAAAATAACATTTTACGTTAGCACTGCGTTACCTCCCCTGTGACTGTATTCCAGAAAATATGGGAACAAGCTGTTATTCTTAACAGTTGGTCTGAAGGTAACATCATAACAATACCAAAATCAGGAGACTTAACTAACTGCAACAACTGGTGAGGAATCACTTTACTATCCATTCCAAGTAAGGTCTTCTGCATGATTTTAATATCAGGAATTATAGAAGCTGTGGATAAGAAACTACAAGAACAAGCTGGTTTCAGAAAAGGTAGAGGTTGCATAGACCATTTTTGACCTACGAAACATCTTAGAACAGTGCCATGAGTGGCAGAGAAACTGCTTGTGAATTGTGTAGACTTCGAAAAAGCCTTTGACAGCTTACACAGGGAAAGTCTTTGGCAAATTTTGAGAAACAATGGAATACCAAGTAAGATAGTGCAACTCATCAAGCAGTTCAATACACACTTCTCATGTGCCATCAACTCTGAAGCTGACACTAGTTTCCCTGTCAAATCAGGAGTAAGGCAATGATGTATAATGTCATTTGTGTTTTTTTATAATTGCCTTTGATTGTGTAATGAGAACAATCCTAGCAGAAAGTAACACCGGACTGAGATGGACCCTTTGTACTATGCTTGAGGACACAGACTATGCTGATGATTTAACACTTTTATCGCATACCGAAGATCATATGCAGGAAAAGACAAGGAAACTAGAAGAAAATGCTAAAATGATTGGACTTAAGATCAATGCAAAACAATCAAAGTTAATGTACCTCAACACAGAGAGACTACCTGTCATATTTGTAGAAGGGAATCAGCTGGATACAGTAGACTCATTTAATTACCTAGTATAACAACAGAAGGTGGTGCTGGAAGAGATATAAAGGTCAGAATAGGAAAAGCTATATCAGCACTCATTAGATTAGGCAACATATGAAAAACAACAGCCTTTTCGAAGAAGAACCAAGCTTAGACTCTAAAACATTTGTGTATCATATGTCCATCTCATTTTTAGATAAATTCGAGCCAGCGGTCAACAACGTACCAAAATGTATGACAAACAAGAGGATTTAAATTTGAAATTATAAACCAACTTCAACCACATATGGATTATACATTTTTGAACTCATTCGATAGTCGAATGCTTGCGAAAAGGTATCGGTGATTGATCAAATTAAAGTGCCGGAGTATTGTAAAAAAAAACGTCAGCCCTTTCTGTCAAAAATATTATTTAAAGGTTCCAGGACCTATATAAGTATTCTGTATTAACTTCACAAATGATACAGAATGGTTTATGTTATCGAATCTATGTGCTAACGTTGTGTATCATGTTATTAACTTTGCCATGCTGCCTTTAATTTGTCTTTGTACTATCATATCCCTTTTGGTCGTATGACTTTCAGGTTTCAGCAATCAGGTTTGTGGCTTTGGATGTTCCTGATGTGGGTTGCGATTCGGACGCACGATATTTGTATATTGTAAATTTCATTTTGTATACTGTTGTATATATATATATATATATATATATATGTGTGTATTACTTTCTTTTTCTTAATCGGGAAAGTGTTTATATTTCATTAGGTTTTACTTACCGTACTATCAACTACAAAAACTTTTTTTGTTGGCGTCTTTGTTATATTTATTTCTTTGGATTTTTAATGTCAATTGTGTTTTATGTCTATTATATATGCTACAATAATTTGATTGCTGGATCCCAATTATTGCGACGTTAACAAATTCAGATGCTTAGTGTCGCTCACACAATTGTATTAATATAACGGAACAATACAAACCTGTCATATAAGCTGATGGTTAAAACAAAGCTATAAAACAAGGTTTAACCAAGTCAGGAATATGACATTTTTCGTTCATTCCATTGGTTGAAATAGTTTAGAGTTTTTATTTTGTCAGGTTTTATTGACTTCCTTTATGGATGTACCTTAATCATGTTAATCGTTTTTTTTTATTCTCCTTTCGGTATCTTCCGGCAAAACTCTGTAAGAAAAAACGATATTAATAAGTCTAATGATATTTTAATAATCAAGAGAGCTTCAAGTCAACGAAACAGTAGTATATTGTATTGATACTGGATCATTTTGGAAGAAAAACTCTTGTACACCAACATTATGCCTCAACTGTCCTATATTTCTACTATCAAAACATTAAAAATTTAATTTAACGCACCAAAATATGCTTGTTTGTACCCACACATTCAATGATAAGACTTTACCTATTATGTAATTTAGGTGATTTTTTTTACATTGTGCAAACCTTCCAGAAAAAAGGATTTGAAATTTTGTCTCTGATTCCAGTATTCAAGTTATCAATTTCCGATCGTGCATTTATGCTTTACGTAAAGAACATTTATTTTGATAATTTGCTTGAATAACTTTTAGATAATGAAATTCTTACAAGATATGTATCGCTGCAATCAAGAGGGAAATTATATTACATCCCCAGTCCTAACCTCTGTTTAAATAGTATGAACTCTGTCAATGATACTGACTGTTGTGTGGATAATAAAATAGGAAATATTTCTTCGAATGAATAAAACATTAGATAAAATTAATTTCATAATGAATCTATCCATTTCTGCTTTTTAAGTACTTCATGGTATATATGCAAATCAAATGTTACAAATATAATGATATATTTTTTTTTTATTCAGGAAATATACAACAAAATAATTAATAATTTCCGTATGAGATCAACTCTTACATATACTTGTTTGTACTTTTATATATAATGTTTACATATTGGTTCAATTAAAAATGTATTCTGTAGTAATTATTTTTATTTTGTGTTATGTTTCTAAAGTGTTATCGAGTTCTGACTGTATTCATTTTGACAGGTATGTTGAACTTTTTACATTGCCTTTATTCTTTGAAGTAAATATATTAAAATAATATAAGATTAAAAGTTGATAGAGGGAATTAATTTTTGTGTGTATCTAAAGTGAACAAGAAAATCATCATCGTCCCTTTTTCAGTTTAGTTCCAGTGGCTTAAATCATTGGTGTCTGTTCAAAAATAATAAGACCTAGTGAAAAGACATACCATGACAAAAATAAAAAATCTAAATTATATGAACTCTAAACAATGTGAGACACATTCAAGGTCGACAAGGTAAGCATATCCTAAAATAATATACATTATTCTGGTACTGGTAACAAGCATCATAATATTTGTTACATAACGACAATTTCTTAAGTAGATTAATATTTGTATTAAAAAAATTAATTTCTTATCAATTTTTCAGTGATGGGATAACATTTTATTGCTGTGATAATCGTGTGAGAAAGAATGGTATATGTGTGGGTACGTATCTCTTCGATATTTAAAGATATTATCAATATTTACATAAAAAACATAAACCCTCTTTTTAGATTTTTTTTTTTGTCGATTAATGGGGTTTCTTTACTATAGTACAAACAACAAAATGGACAATTGCATTAATTATTTGTCGATGACTAAAAATGAGATTTATTAATTGATTGGTGTTTAACGCTACTTTCAGCACTATTCTTGTGCAATTTCGTGATAGTCAGTTTTTATTGGTGGGGGAAGCCGGAGTGCCCGGACAGAACCGCCGACCTTCGGTGGGAAAACTAACAATAAAGTTCAATAAAATTGGAGTCGAGCGCACCTGCTACGTTCTGGATTCGAACTCAAATCCTTAGTTTTGACAGGCTAGTGATACAGTAGTTCGACTACTTAGACCACTCGGCCACAGAGACCCCTCTTAAAAGGGGAAGAAAAAGAATAATGTGACAACAGTATTTTATACAACTTAACTCTATGCTTACTTTTCTAAGATTCGTACAGTTTGTTTCTATGTTGTGGTGTTTAATCAATGCAATGGGTTATGAGAAAGTTGATACATGTTTAATCATGTCATATTCTTTATGTTGCTGTCCTAAGTCTTTCAAGTAGCTTTCGTTAGTTGCTGTCTTGTCATATCTTTTTCGTTCATATTTTTCTTTTTTTTGTTTTTCGTCTGAGAATATGTTGTGTCTCATTTTGTTACGGTGACTTTTATAATGTACTATACGGATCAAGCTTTGGTTATTGTTGACGACTGTGCATTGACCTGTTATTGTTCCTGTCTTTATTCTTTGGTCTTTATCTATGCTATAACAAGCCAGTATACAATAGCTTACTATATAGTATGAGTTTTGCTAATTTTAAAAGACAAACGGTGACCTATACTAGTAGTTCTTTGATCCAGTTTTTTCATATGATGAAGACATAATCTTTCAATCAGTTTAATTGAAGTCTGGAGCTGGCATGTCAGTAACTGCTAGTAGTCCTTTGTCAATTTATGTATAATTGTCATTTTACTATTTTCTTTTAATTTGTTATCTATTCTGACATCGGACTCGGACTTCTTTTAAACTGAGTTTACTGTGCGTATTGCTGTGTGTGTGTTAACTCTACACTGGCTAGAGGTATAGGGGGAGGGTTGAGATCTCACAAAACATATTTAACCCCGCCGCATTTTTGCGCCTGTCCCAAGTCAGGAGCCTCTGGCCTTTGTTAGTCTTGAATGTTTTTTTATTTTAGTTCATTTATATGTTTTGGAGTATGACGTCCATTTTCACCGAACTAGTGCACATTTTTATCTAGGGGCCAGCTGGAGCCCACTTCCGGTGCGGGATTTTCATGCTGTGTTGAAGACCCATTGGTGGCCTTCGGCTGTTTTCTGCTCTTTGGTCAGGTTGTTGTTATTTTGACATATTCCCCATTTCCATTCTCAATTTTATTTTGGTATCTGATGGAAATTTCTCACATATGGAATCCCACCGCAACTCCTTATTTGTTTACATATTGGCTTTTGAGAAGCAATACCTGATTGTATCAATTGGCGTAGACATTTCATGAGTAAATTATCTAATTAAGGTCAGTCCAGGAGCACAGAACTGAGTTGATGCTACCTTTGAGGGTGAAATAACCAGTTGACAATCTGGCTTTTTCAATGCAGATGAATTGTACATTGACATCTACAAATCACAACATAAAAAACTAAAGACTGAGCATCATGAACCCCGTAAAAAACCTGGGGGATTTCAGGTGCCACAACGGTCAACCAACTCATGTTAACGTCATTGTTTGGAAAGGAGAGGCGAAAGATACCAAAGGAACATTCAAACTCAAAGTCGAAAAAAAATTGACCATATCATGCACAGAAAACAAACAGACAAACAGACAAACAGCAATACAAAAAACACAACATCGAAAATTAAGGACTGAGTTAGAGGAACCCCGCCAGGAAATGTGGGTGATCTTAGGTGCTTTCGAAGGGATAGCGGATCCTGCTCCATATGTGCCACCCGTCGTGCTGAAACTCTTGGTTTAAAACCTTCCTTTTTAGTAGCAACCATATTAAGGAAATCATTATAGGTAATGCAAGCTACGGAATATCGTATCAACTGGGAAATATATATTTCATATGCAGATACTGTTGGAATGTTGCTACATAGAAATGGACAGTTCACAATTGGGAAGCTGAAATGATCTTTTTTGTCGATAGTTCCTCAACAATTTTGTCACGAAAAAGCTACGGCATGTGTCTGTCTGCTATCAGCATCCACCGAATTGAACCATGTAAAGTGTTCTGAGTGTCTTTGTTACGTATATGAGTTGAAGGTAGAAAATTACAAAAAAAAAACGCTTCAACAAAATCTTTACTTCCGAAACAAAAGTATAAGATGTTCGTTACTGTCATATTTTCTTTGGGAAATGAGTGCAGCTTTGTTGGCAGAAAAATTTACTTATGTAACGAGATTATTCTCCTTTGCATAAATTAAAATAAATCCATCGATGGACATGCCTGTAGTGTAATATATGCAAGTCTTGAGAAGAATAAATTGAATCGTATGATAACAAGAATATAGCATAGACACATAACAAATATCAGATAATTGTTCGGCAGAACCTAGAGGTATATAATGAGATTATTTTCACATGCATATATATTTTAAAAACAAATATTCAAATCTTTAAAGGAAGTTATTTTTTTATGATGAACAAACTCAAATCAACGTTGGATTACACCATGTGAGGGCCAGTTATGACAAAACGTTTTCACCATTTAGTTTTCTTTGTTGTATTTTGCATCCTGTTATTTGTCTTATGGTCGTTTTTCTGTTCTTGTCGTGGCACATGTTTTACATGTAGTATTTTGTGTTAATTATGTACCAATTAAATAAAAAATACGTTTTATACCATGTCATATATCCAACTTACATCCGTAGAAGTAGAAGATAGGTATAGATTGGTTTCGATTGACACAATTTGAGCAATAGCTACTTCCCTTATGTCGTCATGTGGACAAATTCCTTCATAAACAAGCCAAATTCAACTTATTATACTGACTGCTAAATTTTAGAACAATTTTAATTTCTATTAGCCTTGCTTGATTCATTTCTAGGATCTAGTAAAGCTCTTTTGTCAGATTTGATGGAACCACCTGTTTCAATTTGCTGAGTCAAATAGGAAAATCAACCATTTACCCCTCCTAAATCAATGTCAAGGGGAAAATATTTAAACCCGAATTACGTCATAGAGAACACGGTAATGCAGAATTAAATCCTTTACTATCAGCTGCTGCAAGAACAAAAAGAAACTGATCAATATGTAAGAATAACATCAGTTACAAATTGGACAAATATGTGAATTCAACAAACTAATATATGCAATATATAACATAAATAATCATGATTTACATTTCAGTTTGATATTGATACGATTTCAAGAGTGAGGGTCAATTCGTTGGACATTAAATTGGCAGCTAATTGATCATTAAAAATTATGTATTTCATTCAACTTTTTTCTAGAATGTGATGATGGATATATTCCACATGACGGAGAAAGCTGTAAGCCATGTGAGGATGGTTTTTATGGACGAAAATGTGCTTTACCTTGTGACTGTAGTTCAGAAATGAGGTGATATTTGTTTTAAAACTATACAAGCAAAATCAAATAAAATATAAGACTTGTAGACAAGAAACCGTTAGATTGAAATATAGATTTAAATTTTATTGGAATATGCAAAACAAAAATAGAGGAAAAAAGATACCAAGGCGATAATAAAACAAAGAAAACCAGACAATCACACGAGCAAAAATAAAAATCAAAACAAAACTCAAATATCAAACGTCAACCAACAAAACTTTACTGAACAAACTGAAGAATTTTTTACTTTGAGGTTCTTACTTTATTTATCCTATTTATAAAGATTGCAGAGATTTTGGCATATATTGAGTACCTAAACAAAGTGTTAAAAAGTTGCATTTTCCAGAAGGAACATCTATCAGAGGTAACGTTACAATTTGTATAAAAATAAGTTCAACTTGTTATCTTCATTATAAATGAATGATATGATAAACTTATAAATACCTAGTAATTTAAAGCACTTTTTTTTTATTTTTACGTTGCTAGTTGGACAAACACATAGGGAATTGGCATCGTTTTAATGCAAAATGTCATTCATTTAAGGTGTGATAATGTTCAAGGTTGTATAACAATAAAAGATTCAGAATTGGTGACTGTATATTCAAGTAAGTAAAATCTTTTGGAAAGCTATTTAAGAATGAACAAATATTTTAATTGCAAGAAAATATATACGCACAGAAAATTTGAAGATAAATATGTCATGCATATTCAGAACGATTGATTAGACAACTTATATATCTTGACGAGTTCTTAGTGTGTAATGGCTTGCGGTAGTTAAAAGACAGAAACGATGCCTAATCACTGCTCATGACTGCTCATTGGATGTTTAAACAGGAGTTTCAGTAGTAGACAGGAACTGCTTTTCAATCCAGAGCATTCAAATACAATTCCTGAAAACTTATAATGCAAATCAATCAACTAAAATAGTTTTACAGTCATTTTTTAACGACATTATATATTTATTTATCAAATATGCTTGTTACATAGTTACCTCAAGAAACAACTTTTCTTGATGTATCCTGTAATATTCCATGGATAACCCAGGTTAGTAGTCAGCTGCTGATATATATGTATGTACTCATTTCTTGAAATACAATTGTACGAAAGTTTTAAGCATTATGTTTTTATCTATTCAATCGTGTATACTTCTTTTTAGTGACTTCAGTAATTGATTTAACTTCATTGTTTTGTTTTCGTTATATCGTTTTATGTATTCTTGAACAAATATTTGATACACATTTACATTTCAGTCTTAGATCTCCAGATACCACACTAATCGTCTGATCCTTAATTTTAACGATTTTGTTAATTTGAAAGAGTGCGAATTCACAACGCGGGTGATACATACATAGCAGGAGATCCTTACCCAGCCGACGCACCGGTCTCGCTCGACCCTTTTCGCAGTTTGTTCCATTATTTCAGTTTTTGTTTGTTGTTTTTTCTCATCTTATTTATTTACGAGATTTGAACATCGGGAAACAACAATCGCTTTAATTTACAAAGGTATAAATTATAAAAAAAAAGTTGTAAATCCAACTTAAAATGACGAAAAAACACCGAGCGTAATACCTCTCGTCCATGTTAGTGATCACAAAGTAACCTACAGTTCAAATTCCTCATATCATCAAAGAGATAGTTAAGATAAGATATGCCGACAGAACTACAGAAGAATACGCCAAGATCATACTTAGAAATATCATATTCGACTTATGTCAGTTTTCAGCAATTTGGTCCTAAAGTCAAACAGCCTTTGTTTTCTTCTTAAGTTTTGTAAAAAACTTTGCGTTCGTGAACTCCAAATCAGTTAAAAGAAAAAAAAGTAGCTTTCTCTCCCTGTATATGTTGAACGTCGAAAATTGATTCATTTCTTTGTTTACGATTATCATACGTTGATTTTTTTTTTAATCGCGTGTTTACAAACTAATATTTTTTTCTTTTAAATTCATCCGGTTTTGTTTTGGAAAAGTTACAAAGATGGTAAAGAATGCTGCTAACAGCCGTTTTCAGCACGCGATTGATTGAATATTAAAGATATTTCAAATAAGCTTTTTTCTTTTAACTTTCTAATTTGATTCTATGGTGTATTAGGTCTGCAAAATAGAACGATCACCACATTGTCATTCACGGAGTCAAATGCAGTGTCCTCAAACGTGATACAAAACACTTCAAATGAAATTAACTCTACTGAGTGGAATAAGACAGGTAATATTGTATAGCTAACTAAATGTGTTACCAAATAATATATAAATATTTATAACTGGGTGACATGATTTTGCCTTAAACTACCACCGTATTGTTAAAAAAACAAAACATTCTTAAATCAACCTATTTTGTTCATATTCAGATTCAAAATATTTCGATTTTTCTGAATAGCAATACATCTACATCTGTACTGGTTTACCTGGCAATGAAAAGATGTAGAAGACCTTCAGTGGGAATCAAAACCATATACGAAAAAAGACGGCACCATGAACAATTAGAAAAACTACGAAAATACAAACATTCAATCAACAAAATTCTATACAGCAAATATATAGATTGAGCAATATTACAAACCCGACTTATGTTACTAAGATTTATATAATAGCAGAATGGTGAATACCTCTCGTCTTAACCTTCTGTGATGTAAATAACTATTAATAACATGTTTTAAAAGAGAGGGGAAAGATACCACACGGATCTTCGAACTCTTTAGCCGAAATCAAACTGAAAACGCCATGACAAGAAACGAAAAACGATCAAAAGACAAACAAACAAAGAACAAAATAACGCAACATAGAAAAATCAAGCCGACTGACCGACACGAACTCTACCATAAACCGGTGGTGATCCCAGGTGACCTGGATGGTTAAGCATATCCTACTCCACATGTGAGACTCGTCGTGTAGCTCATGTAAGTACAAAACCTGGTGATCACTATAATTCGGTAGGTCACATTCGAGGAGAAAAGGACAGGATTGTGGTTACGACAATTCAAACATATTCGTCGTCATGTGTGAAACAGATAATCCATAACGGTCAACCAACTCGTGATGGCGTCCGTAAATTTTGAAGAGATGATTTTCAACTTCACTACTTGGAACTCCTGGTTTAATATCTCTATTGTAAGCAGCCGTCATCAATCAAGGAAATCATGATAGGAAATTCAATTGGTGGCCCGCTCGAAGCTTTTACCTCTTGAGTACCAGTTGGACCTGTTGGTATTTCTCATGATATGTAAAAAAAATTGATGATATTATAATTGAGGAAACGAGGTCAAAATTGTGGCTTTGGTGATTTGAACAGATATATGACAGATATTTGATAACGGTCAACAAAATAATGATGGCGTCTGTAAACATGTCAAAGGAATGACTTCAACTTTACCATTGATTCATAGTTTTTCTTGTAAGCAGCAACACTCTACTGAGATAATTATGATAGAAAACGCGAACCATTTCATATCGTATCTACTTAGACATTTTAGAGATAAACTTAATATGCAGTAAAATGGAAACACCTCTTTGTTCGGAAAGTTTAGTTCAAGATTGAGTCTGGTAAACACCGTCGCCGCTGCATGATTTTCAGTTTATGGTTGCATAACACAAAACAGCATTTTTCAGGATCTTTATTTTGTTTTTGTTGTGAATAAAACATTCGAACTCCAAGGAAAATTCAAAACCGAAAGTCTCTTATCAAATGGCAAAATCAAAAGCTCAAACACATCAAACGCATTGAAAACAAATGTCATATTCCTGAATTGATGCAGGCATTTCCGTATGTAGAAAATGGTGGATTAAACCTGGTTTTATAGCTAGCTAAATCTCTCACTTGTATGACAGTCGCATTAAATTCCATTATATTGACAACAATGTGGGAGCAAAACAAACAGACATAATAGGTAAAAATGTAAATGATTGGGCTAATACTTTCCGATACAAGCGATTGTCTAGCAATTATGTTACCACAGTTCATGTCGGAATAAGAATAAGTTGACAATAATAGTTATGGGATCCGCTTATATTCAGAAACGCGTTTTGGATGCAACATATGTAAAAAAAAAAATAAGAGAAATAAAGAAGTGTATGTTCACTTTTTAGATTCTTAATTTTGTATGACAATACCATCCAAGGCGTGCATATACTTGCAAACACTCGAGACAACAACCTATTGACCGATGAAATGTTTAGACAAATTTCATTTATTTTTAGGATTATCCGACAGAGAAAGGACAATTATTTCAACAGGGATTACCATATTTTTTATTCTGTTCGCATTTATGACAGTAGCACTTGGATGCTTATACAAACGTAGATCAGACAGTTCGAAGACCTATGTGGAGCAGCAGTTAGAACCAACTAATACCGCTGGTGATTTTGAAGATCAGCATAGCATTGAGGAGAACGTTTACAATGTTATAGATGAAAGTGAGATATACGACGACAACATCTTACCAAAAATGTTTAAGCACGACAATCATTCTGAATTTGTACCTGATACACAAGAGAATGAATGTAGTTCTGGATATCTAAAACCAATTGCTGTAACAGAACTAAATACAGACCCACATCCCTGTGGATCTAGTGTCAGAAGCGAAGACACGGGGTATTTGCATCCATATCATTCCATTTTACCACATTTAAGGGAAAAACCAGCAATTTATTCAAGATGCGAAACAGATTTATATTTGGAAGTGCTACCTGATGTAAAGTCTGAATCAATGGATGCTGTGGTTCTTTAAAAATAGACATTTTATAAAAAAAACTTTTAAACAAGCTTACAATAAAACGTATAGATTTAAAGGGGCACTAGCTTCGAGATATATTAAAAATATAAAATATGATCTTTTTTGTTCAATCATAAATGAAACTAAAATAGTGAAATAAACATTCGCTTTTAGCAGCCAGTATGGTTCAAATTTGTCAAAATAAGCTAAGAAACATTGATGATGAATTATTCACTTGCAAGTGAATAATTCGACCTCATTAAATCCGTATTCATATGAACTTCAATTTAACCCCTTAGCTAGAGATGGATAACGCATGAATCGTGCGTGCTGAGTTATTTAAAGGAAAAGAATGTCAACATTGAAAGTGAACCAACGGTAAATCATTTGATTGACTGATTCGAACTACAAAAAATCATTCTTATACAGGTAAAAACGATGATTAACATATATTTTTAATCTATAATATGAAATTAAACAGACCTAGAAAAATCAAATTGCACGAGTCCAGTTTCTATTTATATCTATATTTATGTTTATATTGCTTATATGGCTATCGGAGGTATTCGGGGGTCAACTCGATAGTTAATTAGATGGCGTCTAGACTAAAATACACACGAAACGAAGTTACATATTATCGAGACCATGCCCTGTAAATTGATTATTTTAGACTTTTTATAATGTGGATAAATGTTTTACATTGTTATAAATCAAATATGAGAATTTGAGTCAAATCGGTGAACATGAATTTGGCAGCTAGTGCCCCTTTAACTGTAGCAAATTAAGTTTACCTGGAGATGCGTAACATAGTCAGGTCGACGGACTTTTGCGACAATAAAACAAAGCTTTACGTCGCTCGGAATGCATTACAGTTATTTCGATTAAAATGCAAAAATAAACAAAGTCCTCCATGTTTGTCATTATTTTAGTCTATTTACTGTAAATCGAAAATTTGCTCGAAACTTTATTTATTCTTGGCATCTAAACTTTTTTTTAAAGTTTTTATGTTTCCTGAAAAGCCAAAACACAGATGAAACCATTAAATCTTGAATTTTACATCATGCTTTAATGACATTTTTGAAATTAATGCAAACGGAGTTTAAAAACTGTCCTGTTATTATTTTGGTATGGCTAAATAAATGTCCATTGATGAAAGCTGTACGGTTGCCTATAAACTTTTAGGTAATTTGGTCTCTGGTGGAGAGTTGTCTCAGTGGCAATGATACCACATGTTGAAAGGGAAGGTGTTATGTTACCATCGTTAGAGGCCAATTTTGTTAATCCATATAATTAATACATGTTTATTGTAAGACTACATGATATAGAACTGCACATGATATTGTGTGTTATATATAGATAAAGTCAATGAACTTTAAGCACGTGTAACTGTTAATATTGTCAATCAAGATAAGATAGGCGGAGTCTCTATAAATGTAAATAGATCGATAAGATGATATAGCAATATCATTACAGAAGGTTTTAATCAAAATTCAAAATATAATACAACACTGAACCTTTAATGATGAATTTTTCACAAAAATTTGCATTCAATCTATTTTTCACCTAAGCAATTCAAGTATGTAATAGAAAATATACCTTCATGTGCTACTTTAAGAGATAAAGGGGGTCGAAATTAAAGACATTTACTAAAAATTTCGTTTTTTTTTTTAACATCTCTATCATTTGGATAGACACACCTAACTTTTTTTATTTCAGCAGATAAACACAAGGGAACTTTTATAGAAACATTATGAACATTTTCTTTACATAAATATGCTCTTAATATGTACAACCGTTCTTTGTAAATAATTTAAAACTTTTAATAAAGTTTCAGGCTTTTTCATTAAAATTGATACAAATAATCTTCGTACGTAATCAAACCTAATGCAATTTAAAAAAAAAAGAGGGGTCCATGTACTCGTTTTCAAGTTAAATCAGTTTAAATCATAAAAAAAAACAGTAGAAAAATGCATCTTTTCCCTATATGTCACAGTTTGCTGTCGCGAAAATAACATTTTACGTTAGCAACGTCATTACCTCCCCTGTAACTGTATCGTATGCCCTTAAGCAAATGTAACATTAACCCCTTCAAAACAAAATAAGCTCCGTAATTCTGCTATACAAATATGCATCTACCGTGTTTGATCACGGCAAGTAAAAAACGATAAGTAGCATTCTGTAATGTCACAATTGAAAAGAGGACGAGGATATGTGGATGATATTTGTCGTCAATTGTGACATAAGTCCACCAAAGAATGATGACGTCCCACGGGGGAGGGGGGGGGGGTCTCTTCCTACATGAAGGTATATACATATGTGCCGCTGGAATGGGTCCCTTTCTTGATACGTCAAATATATCAACGGGGTGCAATTTTACCGAGGAAATATATCAATAGGTAGTAATTGACCAATTGTGATATATCGATGGGTCATAATTTTTCAGTTTGTTGTGCAACGATCTTCACTGAATTTCCCAAACTCGTATATGCATATAGGTACTATTTGAGCTGATGAATATATGAATGGGTTATGATTTCGCTGTGAAATATATGTATAGGTAGGGATTTCACAATTATTCAATATATGAATGGAGGGTGTTTTTTAATCCCATGTCGAGACCCCCCCCCCCCTCGTGTGACGTCCATCCTTTAAAAAGATGTCAATTCAACGCAAGACCATTCAGGACAGTTGTCATGCTCATTTCAATCTTGACATTTCCCATTTTCAATTTGATATTTCTCATATCAAATTTGACATTTCTTATGCAGTTTAAATAAAATAGAGAATGGAAATGGGGAATGTGTCAAAGTTGACATTTCTCCCTTCCAAATTGACATTTCTCATTTCTAGCTTAGCATTTCTTAATTCCAAATCAACATTGTCTAGTTCAAAGGTGAAATTGACCAGTTTAAAGTTGATCTGTGAAATGTGAAGGGTACATTCCTTATTCACAACTTGACAATTATGAGTTCCAAGTTCACATTTCCAGTGGCGGATCCGGGAGGTGTAAAGCACGTACATGTATTTTCGTTTTTGAATGCTAGTATTAAGATAAGGGTATTGGCATAATTGCCCATGAGACAACTATGATATCCATCAAAAATCCAATAACTAGAATTAAATTAACTATAGGTCACCATACATCCTTCAACAACTAGCGAAGTCCATACCCTGTATAGTTAACTCTATAATAACTCCCTGCATGACACCATGTTTATTGTTATCCCTGGTTTCTAGTTAACTAGATTTGGCACAACTCTTTTGAATGCTTTATCAGGTATATGATTTTGTAAGTCAAACATGTAGATACCAAACCAATTGTTAAATGTGGACCTCATAATAAGAAGCCAGTTGAACAAAACCATCAACTGGTTCTTAATCGGCAAAGGGGTCAGACAAGGTGATAATCTTGCACCTACATTGTTTGATATATGCATTAATGACCTAGTTCCTCAGATTAACTTTATCAATTGTGGAATCACATTGGAGGATGAATTTTTGCTAAGTGCCCTGTTGTATGCGGATGACATTGTGCTACTTTCTAGTACCGCTAACGGAATACAATCGATCACAACTTGGTGTACTTGACAACTGGTCAAATAAATTGGCTTTGAATATGAACATTAATAAGACTACGATCTTGACACTCCAGTTGATTACGCACCGCAATATCGATATCTGGGTATTGACTAAGGGAGCTACCATTTGGTTTTTATGGGGGGGGGGGGGGGCTAGGATGAAATTTGAAACAAATAGGCAGGACAGGGATTTTGATTAAAAAAAAAAGGCAGGATGAGATTATTTGCCAAAAAAAAAGGCAGGATAACAATTTATGTAAAAAAAGTCAGGATAAACTACAAAAAAAAAGACAGGACCGAATAGAGTGAAAAATAAAAAAGCAGGACCGAATACAGGGAAAAATAAAAAGGCAGGACAACATTTTTCATCCTAGCCCCCCCCCCCCCCCCCCCCGCAATAAAAATCAAATGGTAGCTCCCTAAGACACACACACTTAAACTCTTCGACTGTACCGTAACTCCAATTACAGATTATGCTTCTGGTGTATAGGGTACAAAACCCTTCGATGATCTCGATAATTTGCAAAACAGAGCAATTCGTTTGTTTCTAGGCGTTGGGAAATTCACACCAATTCCAGCTATTTCAGGTGAAATGGGATGGATTCCACCGGCAGTTCGATGTCAATGTCAGATAGTTAAACTTTGGTGTCGTTTAATTAATTAGCATGAACAAGAAGAGAATACCGCTACGAACCTTTTTATGAGATTGTCGCTTTTCTGTCAACCATCGTGAATCGTGACTGTGATACGTGGAGTAAGAACGTAAAATCGCTCATGAACGATTGTCGACTTTTAAACTTTTAAACTTATTTACTTTTAATAGTACTGATGGACTTAGTGACAAATTTATGGTCGGAATCGTTAAGGACACGCTTTTGTGGAAACACCAGTCTAAAAAAGAGGGGCGAAAGATACCAGAGGGACAGTCAAACTCACAGATCGAAAACAAACCGACAACGCCATGGCAAAAAAAATAAAAAGACAAACAGACAAATAATAGTACACAAGACGAACCCCACCAAAAACTGGGGGTGATCTTAGGTGCTCCGGAAGGGTAAGCAGATCCTGCTCCACATGTGGCACCCGTCGTGTTGCTCATTTTCTAAAATGTCAGAGAGTCTAGAGGAAATGCCCAAACTCCGAACTTATAAACATTTGAATTTCTCCTACACGGTGCAACCGTATGTGAAAATGAACATCTCTCGACAAGAAAGATCGACGAATAAGATGCTGAGTGTTCCCGCTAGAAATCGAACGGGGTCGCTATCAAGGAATTCCAGCAGAAAGACGCCCATGTAAGATATGCAAGTCAGGCTCGGTTGAAGATGAGACTCATTTTGTACCTCATTGCTCAACATATGCAGCACAACGATTTACCATGTTAACAGACTATCAAACCAAATATAACTATGATCTTACAAATCTATCCGATATGACAAACTTAAAACCTTACCCAGTAAGGGAATAAAAGTAGTTACCAAATTCGTTATTCATATTTTTAACATTCGTACACAAAATTTATCTGTAACTTAAAAAACA